TCTTCGAAATAATCAAAACCTGTCAACGTTGAGGGGTACCACCACGATCGTTATTTTTTGACCCTCTTATTAAAAATATAAAACGAATATTATTGTTTTTAATTAGAATGTATTCTAAATATAAATCATATCGACGGTAGACTTTTTTTCTATTATTATCTCGCAATTAACCGAAAGGGGCATGAAAAGTCGTATATACATCTCTTGGAAGATGAGGGAAATTATTGGAATTTGATTCACTTATATGAATCAAAGTTTGTGTGTACGAATCTAATTCTATATATATTATGATTAATAGGAAAAATAGTTGAAACAGATTGAATTTATAAAACAAAAGTGTCGATATAAGATCACTAGAATAACCACATATGAATATTAACACTCTAATTTTTACATTACGACCTATGAGTAATATAAGATTATAGTTTAATTAAAAATTACAGATATATGCCTATATATATATATATATATATAGATCTAGAGAGAGAGAGAGAGGCTTCCCGAGAAGACGAAATATTGAAGCAAATTAAGGAAGTTCAAACTTGGTCATTGTGATGAGAGACAAAATGCGATAGAAAAATATGAACCCTTTTGTCCCATCCCTTGGATTCATGAAAAAGACTACAACGCATATGACGTGTAATCTCAATGTTTTATTATTATATTCACGTACACATACGAATATATACATATATATATATATAGTGGATCGGTGTGAGAATATTTTATTTTTTGCACAAAAATCTAATGATGGGGTTACATGTTGTATTTGTGATTGTGCATCATCAGCATGTCAATAAACAGGTTTTGTATTTTTTTTGAGTGAAAAATTGAAATATATTTTACATATTTTTAACTTTAATTTTAAAACTCATAATTTATAAAATAATATATATTTACACAATAAGATTCGAGTTGAGTTCATATGGAAGTTAGGTAAAATAGTAAATATTTTTAATGTATTTTTTTTAAAACGTGCTCCACTCTTTTTTTTTTTCCATTTTTCAGGTCAACCAGGCAAAGTTGGAAATTAGACGCCTATTAGACATATAAAAAAAATGACTAAAGGATAATAATAAAATTTAATTCAATTATTTTATATTTAATCTAAATTAGATTTAAAATAAATTAAATTAGTTTAATTTAAAAAATTAATAGTAGAGATGACAATAAATTGAATAAAACAGAATAATTCAAGAGCTTTATTATTGATCTTTTTGTAACCAATTAAAGATTGTGTAAATAAAATCACCTTTTTGACCAACCGTTGAGGCAACAAAGCACGCCGACCCGATGGTCCGAGAGCTTCGAATTTTGGTTTGTGAAAAAAAAAAGTCATATATTTTTATATATTATTTTTATTGTAATCACTTTTACTAATATTTAATACGCTTCTTGGAATTTGTAATTTTCTGAAAGGGTTGGTGACGTACACTTCGGGTACTCTTTATCAACCGGTGCTCTCTCATAGACTAATGTTTGTGGAAATTTTGCTTATGGACAAAATATCGGTACGAATAAATTAAATTCCAGTCCAAATTATTTAGTTTAATTTATTTTGCTGGCGATTACCATTTGGCATTATCAAGATTCCTGATGTATGTATGTATGTATGTATGTATGTATGTATGTATGTATGTATGTATGCTAAGGAAGAAGCCCAAAAACATATAGTATATGCTTGTACTTTTGAAGATAATGGAGGGCTGTTTTTCTCGTCATCCATAAGTGTGCCATTGCCATATATATATATATACATACATGTGTGTGTATGTGTGCGTGGTGATGCAAAATTACAATTTGCGCCATCTGGAATTTGCGTGAGAACCGGCACGAGAAAACTAGGAGTCGGTGTATACATGATTTTCCTTATATATATATATATATATATATATATATATATATTTTTTTTTTTTATTTGTTTGTTTTTTTATTTTTATCACAGATCATTTATGTGGTAAATAAATTTGGTAAAATTAATGATGTCACACTATAAAAATCCGAAAAAATTAATGTGTGTCGTGTAAAAAATGACTAACGATTTTGAGATTTGATATAAACGTTTTATATTTTTTGAATTTGATTCTAGTTTTTTATCAAATTCGCATAAAATATTATTTTATTTGGATAATTTGGTGTTGGTTTTTGTTATTTTCCCTCTCTATATATAGTTTTAGATGATGAGGCCACTATTTCTGTTCATAACTAAAATATAATAAAAATATGATAACATTTGTAATAAAAAAAATAAATGAAACCAATTTAGACAATACAAGATTAATAAAAAAAGTTAAAAGATATAATTTTTAAATAAATATATTTATTTTAGTAAAATTCAAATGAAATTTGAATAGAAATCGAAACAATTTAAAATTTGATTTTAAAATCAAATATAATCAAAACTAAATTATATATATATGTTAATGAGAACAGATCGTCCTTACATGTGACAAGTTATACATTATAAAATAAATTTTGAGGCCAATTTCCGGAGATACAGACATGTGAACATGTGAAGTGTAAAAGATATTTTGGCCTTTGTGAATATATAAGCTTCGTACCTAACATATGCATATCCCACAAGACAAATAAATTTGGGACAGCTATACATGTTTTAGACCTAATTTATTACGGTAATAATGATAAAACAATTCAGACAGCTTTTTATTCGATTTAATTATTTATATTTAATGTTACAAAAAAAATAAAGCTGTACGTACCATGTGTTATCTTGGCGAATTTATTAGGTGGCCATGCCTCTGAATAATAATTTACACCCCACCACTCTCTCCTTTCATATAACATCCAATTTCTTAACAGTTTTATTTCGTTTTTTTTTGTTTGATATTTTCCTAAAATAAATAAAATATGAACATTTAAAGATAATCTTATGGATTATGTCTGTTTTAGATTTGGACGATAATCTATGTTACCATTTAATTCGGGTCATCATCAAATTATATTTATATATATAGGTACAAATAAAAATAAAAATATAGATATTAGAATGCAACTTTGTGTCAAAATATGCGCATTTATGCGCAATTACTTGACTGAGACAACACAGACAAAATACAGTTTCGATACTATTCCTAGGATTTATATTCTTGAATGAAATTAATTGAATTTAAGAAAAAAAAACACGGAATAAATTTAAACAGTACGATCATGGGATTAATCATTCCGAGTTGAAGGTTTGAATAGGGAGACATGAGCAATAAAATACAGAGCAATTTATTATGAAATTCGTTTATTTTTGTGAGTTTCGAAATAAATGCATATTTTGTTTCAATTCGTTTGTATAATTTCGTCCCGAATATCTATTTGTTCAATAAAAATTTAAGATTCAATGTATTTCTCTTATCTATTTGGTCGTATATATTTATCTAACTCATGATTTCCTTTTATAACTCTTTGTTGCTCTCTAATTGTTCTCAAACTTATTCAACAACTTTTTTCGAACCTTTATAAAACTTATGAGAAACTATTCTTAATCATAATATAATTTTTAGAAAAATTTTGTGAGATGGATAACATTTACAATTACGATCATAATATATATATATATATATAACCTTTTATTTTAAGGAAAAAAATTAAGAAACAAATTGTTCTCTAATTTCCTCTTGTTTTTGAGAATTTAGAGGTCGTGAAAATGACAAACAAACAATTGGGAAAAAAAATTGCAGTTTTTTTTTTGTCAAATTTCAACTGTTGGAATGTGACCTTTCGGACAATAACCTTTACGTTTGTAACAACCATTAAAAGTGTCTCTTTTTATTTTCTTTATTTTCTTTATTTTTTTTCTGATGAATAATAAAACAGTTGACGCCTAACCTTCTGTCTCTCAAGGTTATATTCTAGGACGGTAATAAAGACTTGCTTTAATTATTATTAATATTTACAAAATTTAATTGTCATTGAAATTTTCTTTTTCCGCATTCATTTGTATTTCCCAAGTAGACTTTTGTCATTTACAATTTAAGATGTATAATTGATACAAAGACAAAGTCTCGACTTTCAAAGCTTCAGTTACCACCAACAACAGAATCTGATTTTAGTACTATTTAACAAGACAAGCGCAAATTAGAATCTAATCCTTCGCGGAATTAAGAAATATAAAATAAATAATTTATTTTAGCCTTACAAAGTTAAGTCGTAACCACGAACCAAATTGTTAAATGAAATCAACTGAATATTCAGAGTCTCACACAAATTTAATTTATTAACCGTTCAAATCACAAAAATATTGGAAACAAAGATTACGGCACACTACATTTACAAATTTTGTTAAGAAAAATCCCAAAAAATCCATCACATTATTAAAAACTTCCAAATAAATATATATATATATTTTCTTATAAATACATAAATTATTAAAAAATTCATATAATAATACAAATATAACCAAATTACTACAAATTGTATAACCATTGATATATATGTTGAAAATTGTGGTGAAGGCGAGATATATATTTCCATCGTCGTTATCTTGATATATAAATATGATATTATTTTAAAAATTAATATATTATATAAAATTTTCAAATGCTTGGTGTATTACGAGTCAGAATTTCATATGTTTTCATGAAATTGAAAAAATGATTTGTAAAATATGTTGCCATTAAAAAAAAAGAGAGGCTATATGGGGGGGGGGGACATCTTTTGATGTCAGTTTGGATACTTTGATTGTAACAAGACAGACACTTTTGTGGCCACTCCTCAAATACTTTTGCCTTTATGAAAATTATTTGTGGTGTTCCTCTTTTTCTTTTTTGTTCACTTGTGAATTTTTTTTTTCTATTTCCATTATGGAGATTCTCTTACAAATCACATACACTCTCAAGGTTTGTGGAAAGAGTAATCACAACTTGTAATGTCCCTTTGCTTCAACATTCAATGGACCAGCATCATCCTTCTCCATTGTGTGGCCTCCCCATTCCCAAAACCCTTTTTCATTTTTTGCAAATAGAATATGAAATTCTCCAAACATTGCAATATGGACCCCCAAATAAAGATTTTTGAAGTAATGGCTCTTTGTATATGTGAACAAGGGATGACACTACTAAATACTCTGAACCCCACATGAAGGGATCACAATACATGGGGGAAAACAATGGCTAAACAAATCCTCAATCTATATGAAAAGGTTCTGTTTCATAAACTCTGCAACTTTTAAAAACATGGCAAAAAAGAAATGACGCTTAACATGAACTATTTTGGGCATTTACCAGTTATTCATTAACTGTGATACCTTTTGCAGCAGCTGATTCGTCCTGCGGCTTCATGGCTGGGAAGAGAAGAACCTCCTGCAATGGTTACAGAAGTTGTTTCCAAGTTACTCATCACATGAATCAAGAAATCCAACTGGAATTCAGTTAAGCTTTCCCTGACAGCTTAGAACTGTAGAGAGAGAGAGAGAAGGGAGACCTTGATATTCTGTGAGTCAGTAAGCAGCATAGAAAGCCGGTCTACTCCCAATCCCCAACCGCCAGTAGGAGGCAGCCCATATTCGAGGGCGGTACAAAATGTCTCATCCAATGCCATTGCTTCATCATCTCCAGATTGTCGATCCTGAATCCGGGTTTTAACCAATTCAGCATTAGGGTAAAAGTTTCGAGACCTTTAGGCAAATACCCAATAGGCTTTTTAGTATTTACAAATGATTTCGAATACCTTGAGCTGATCAGCAAATCTTTGGCGTTGTACAACAGGGTCATTCAACTCAGTGTAGGCATTGCACAGCTGTGTTGGTTAAGTAAATCATGTTGGTTAAAAGAGTGCTGAATCAAAAAGATTCAAAGAAGAAAGCAGTGATGAAACTACAGAGTTTGATCACCGTACTTCGTGCTTGTTGATGAAGAGCTCGAACCGTTCAGTCAGACCGGTCTTTGATCTGTGCCATTTTGCCAAGGGACTCATAATCTCGGGGTGGTTAATGATGAACGTTGGGTTAACACAGGTCTCTTCCAGAAAGTGTCCAACAAGCTGCACAGTGATAATATTCCAGACATAAACATGTGAATGTGGACCATGAGCCTTTTTCTCATGTATCTTCCTATGTTGACAATAGAACAGTAAAAAATATAACTAAACCTTATCAGATATACCACAGAGGGCCCCAAAATATTTGCTTTTAAGCCACGAGAGGTCTCATGCTATACGCGTGCGACTGTTCCATTTTTTTTACCTGAATGCTAAATTTCCATATTCTTTGGCAAGGTGAAAATATCTTTAACATGTTTTCCTACAAAAGTTCCATGGACTTTTCCCTTTTTTTACGTGAATCATTTTATCATGCTTTGTTTTTCAGAAAGAAACTCACTTCAGTGCATCCAAAACCTATGATCTCACTACAAAATCTCTACAACTCTAACATTCATGTTTCAGAAGAAGACATGACTTACTTTGTCCAACAACCGAGCCGTTGTCTGAGGAGGTGGGCATTTGACGTCAAACCTCGAACATGCATCAATCAAATACTTGTTAGCTTCTTCACTAGCCAAATCTTTTGGTATATTGAGGTTGGCCAACTTCTCTAACCCTTCTATCATGTCAATTCTCCTGCAGAAACAGAACATACAAACCATAATTATTCTCAGGATCAAGATCCAAGAAAAAGCTGTCTTAAACTCATGCACAATTCCACAAACCTGAATGGAGGAGTAAAGTCGATCTCAATTGGCTCCTTATCAAGCCCATTTGCATGGTATTTGATTTTATAACCACCTGTTAGTTCCTTTACCATACCTGATACAGATGTGCAGCGGGAAGACGTTCAGACGACATAAACCTTAAGATGATGCAAAAGCGAAATTACACTTTGGTGAGCATAAACAGTCGCATACCACTCAGCATTTGCTCGGTCAGTTCCATCAAGTCATTGTAGTCTGCAAAAGCCATATAGAATTCACAAGTGGTAAACTCTGGATTATGGGTAAGGTCAATTCCCTCGTTTCTGAATTGCTTTCCTATCTCATAAACACGGTCCAGGCCACCAACAACAAGCTCCTTAAGATAAAGTTCAGGTGCAATACGCATGAAAAGCCTCATATTGAGTTCATTGTGATGGGTTACAAATGGCCGGGCAGCTGCTCCACCGGCAATCATGTTCATCATAGGTGTCTCAACCTAGGAAAGTTTAGAACTTTAATTCCGGGAAAAAAAACTCTTTCCAAATACCACAAACAATTGAGGAAAAAGGACTATATTTTCTGCATGAGAAGATAAACAATGAACCTCCAAGAAATCAAGATTGTCAAGGAATCTTCGGATGTAGGAGATGATCTTAGCCCTGGTCCTGAATATCTGGCGAACTTCCAAGTTCAGCATCAAATCAAGATACCGTTGACGATATCGAGTTTCCTAACAAACACAAAACCAGTCATATTTCCATTTGAATAGATAAATACATGATGGGAACGAAACATCTAAATAATCTACGGAAATACTAGAGACCAGACCAACAGAAAGTCGTTAGTATTACACAACACAAAGAGACCTAAAGAAAATCATGGTATTCAATGGTATATGAATCTAAAAAAACCATTATAGCCCTTTGCAAAGTAAAGGATACCTGATCTTTAAGAATATATGTTTCAGGATTTCTTGTGCTTCCTGGAACCCAGATTTCGGTTTTCTGCAGAAAATGTGGAACAGGCTGGCGTAAATTAAAGGCAATGAGACAATACTAGCAACTTTGAATCTTCTCTACCTTTGAATTAGCATTATCAGCACCAGGACCAGCCTTCTGTCTTGGCATCATGTGAAGGCAATGAGACAATACTATAAATGATCGCGGGAAGATACTCAGTTCTCCCCTCTTAGTTTTTCCTGGAAACAGAATAAAATATATTCAAATAATGGATAAATAGATTCAGGGAAACTGTAATAGTAAGATCAAGGCTGTGCAAACCTGGAAACCCCGTGATACCGACAATGTCGCCACGCTTAACACTTGCATGGAGCCTCGCAAACATGGCTTCGTCCAATCCTGACTTACTGGAGAAACGAAACATAAATCAATTCAAGAGCAAACAGGAAAGAACTCGAAGGGGAACAGATATACTGACTACTCACCTTGCATCAGCCATAACTTGAACCTTGAAACCACCACCATGAAGATCATAAAAGAAAAGCTTGGAAGAGGAGGATCTCTTACTCATTATCCGTCCTGACACAATTGAAAAAAAATGGTTTTCATTCCCCATTCCAAAGATTCTATAAAGTGCAGATGGCTGAGATAAAACCACATTGAAGAGAGGATAAGATACCGGCGAGAGATACTTCAGCATCTTCAACATGCTCGCCATTGCTTAAACTACCATACTTCTCAATGTACTCATGAATGGACATCGAAACATAAAACTTGTGGGGGTAAGGATTCTCCCCTTTAGCCTTCTCGGCCGCAAGATTCTTCAATCTGTTCTCAAAGTATTGCTGCAAGACAACAGAAGAAACACATCAATGGACTCATACCCTACCCACGTTGTTGCATTTCCAAAGGATTTAACGTATGTTGAAAGGGTACATACCGTAGGGTCCATATCCTCATCATCTGCTGCAGCAGACTTCAGGGTCTGAGAGCTGGCCTTAGCAGCAGCCTACATCAATGAAAATGAAACCATTTAACAAACACTAGCATCAGAGTACAATCTAAGAAAGCAAAAAGAGGAGTCCTGAAGCTCAATTTGGAAAATAATCTATCATATATGAATGTTTTCCTCCCAAAATCTATCACATTCCACAAAATCAATTACACACTCGAAGAAACGAGCTTTTCACCTGTCTGGCTTTTTCCTCTTCCTTGCGCTTCCTCTCTTCCTCCCTCTGTTTGTTCTTCAATTCCCTCTTGAGAGCGCTGTAACATCGCGTAAAACATACGCATCAGATTCAATACCCAAAAAAGAGCGAATCAGACAAGCTGCTCCAGCGAACGTACTTCTTGCTCCGGGGTTCAGCTCCGTCGCCCGTGGAAGCGGCAGGAGAATCCATGGACACGTTCGAGACAGGTTCCGCAGATTTATCAACCGAATCCCCCATGGAAGCGAGCTTCCTTCTTCACTTTTCGGGTGTTCGGTCCGAGATTCTACGCTCGAAATGGGGAGACGACCACTGTCGGACTCTGTTCGCCGTCGACTGGGAAAATTATGGTTAAGGAGAGGCCTCTAGGGTTTTGGTTTGGGGCCTTCAATAGAGACCCAATCTCAGCGCTGGGCTTCGACCATTCCTCGCAAATATATAAATTTGGATTTCCATTATGTACATTTCAGATTTCACTTTTACAACTGGGTTTTTATAGTTCTGTACGTATTTAATTTTTCAATTTTTTATTTTTTTTCGATTACATCGATTAAATTTAAATTTAAAAATTCATTAAAATCAAAATCGCAATTGAATTACATACTTTTATATTTTCATTGGGTTTATATATAAATGGGTAAAAATATCTGGAATTAGAAGAGGAATAAAAAAAAATTCTGTAAAAATTAGAAAAAGAAAATATGATTCCTCCTCTATGAAGTGTTTACTGTTTACTAAAAGGACATTACACTTCGACGACCGAGATCGAAACAGAAGTGTGAAACTGTGTTCTGTAACTGCAGCAACTCAGAGAGCAAGCTCCCTTTTAAAAGCTTCGAACTTTTAGCTTTCTTGTCCGAAGTTTCCCTCAAAATTTCTCTCAGTTTCTCTCATTTTCCTTGTGATCTTTTCTCGCCCATCTTCCAAGATGCCGATCAACAAGGACCCATCAACTCCTCCTCCCGTCATCGGGAAAATCGGCCCGTACACCGTCTTCATGACGCCTCCGGCGACTCCTAAACCGCCGGAGTCTCCAGCCGCCGTGTCGGGGAAGCCGGTGGTGGCGCCGCCGGTTCAGCCTCCGCCGCAGCAGTTCGAGTCGGTGGCTTCGTATGAACAGAACGGCTCCATCTCGGGATTCTTCAGAAATGCCATCACCAAGGTCCAAAATGGTAAAAAAAAAAAACTTTTCTGGTTTTACTAATTAGAGTGTACTCAATTTGATTTGCCCATTTTGGGATCTTTTTTTTTTCCTTCGAACATTGTTAGTAGTTCGGGATTCGGATATGCCGGTTGATTTGATTTTCTGAATCCCTGATTGGCTGGTGAGAAAATAGCAGAAGATGATGGAAAGTGATGGGAAAATATGTCTGTTGTGTGGTTGGGAAGTGAGAGAGAGATGGAAAATGGGGATAAGGAAACTAAGTTAAAAGAACTTCACAAACTTCCGGACAACCTTGGTGTCTCTAAGTTAACTAAGCTCTCTGTAACTCTTGCCTGCTTGGATTCCGAGAAAATCCAAGAAAAGTATCAGTTGAATCAAAGACAAACATGGTTAGGTGATCCTTTTGGTTGGCCTTCTGAATCTTCTCTGGTTTGGGTATTTCAGAAACTAATTAGAACTAATCCTTAGAACAAAGAATGCACATATCATTTCAGATTCATTCTCTGCTTGTGAAAGCACAAGTGGCTTAAACAGCAATTAGGACACCTTGGTTTAAGCCATTACTGTGTTTGTTCCCGTGTCCTGTCCTGAGCAATTGTTTTTTCTTCGATAGCGCACTCCAGAGTGGATGATCATTTGGTCAGATGGTTCGGCCTAGACCAATCCAAGTATCAATGGGCTTTGGACGAGTACTACGAGACCAAAGGACCGGTAAGTTGTCTACATTAATCGGTGAAAAGGTTTGATTCATGTGCTCATCTGATGCATCTTTCTTGTCCATTTGCCTTCTTTAGTCTTTTTATCGAGTCGTGTTCCTGGTTTTTCTCGTAATGATAGCCCTGCTTCCACTGATGCCGAGTTCTCATGGAGGGTTTGGTTAAGACAATTATGTTTTTCAGGGCTAGAAGTACAAAATCATGCCTTAACATGCATTTTCAGTAGCTCTAAGGCAAACCCGGTTTCGAGTTCATTGCTTCATATCACACTTTGATCATTGATGATAAAAAAGAAAGCATATCGTCTCGGAAACGAGTTTCTTATGCTAAATAAGTGCAGTCTTAATCTGAGAATTCTTGGCCATACGCGAATGCAGGAAATGAAGGGCGTAAAAGCGAAAGAGATGCCGGGAAAAGCACAGGGCGTGTAAGCAAAGCTGTGTCTTATGTGGCTGAGGTGAATGATTTTTTTTTTGAGAGTTGAGCATATTATTGCAGATGATGATGATGATGATGGTGATGGTGATGATGAATCATAGTCCATGTAGTAATTATATAACCCCAAGTGAGTGACGCTCCAAGGAAAAAACAGAGCAAAGAATCATCACAATGGGTGTCTAAGTGTTGTGTTTTGGTAATGTGTTTGATGCAAGATGTACTCTACTGTTCCTTCTTCTGCTTCTATTATGTTATGTTCTCCGAATTGAATGTGTGTAGATACATACATCTTTGTGTGTATGTATATGTACTTACGCACATGAAAACATACGTTGGCATATGTATACGCACGGATGTGCGATATGTATCATATGGGCCGTAATATCGAAGGCCCAATAGTAACGTTACCTTTGTAGCCCAAATAGTTATGGGTTCGCGTTTTTTTATTTCCTTCAAAAAATCGTTAAAAGAAGACTTCGAACAAGGAAAAAAGAGAGAAGGTTTTAAAATGCAGAAAATATCATAAAAATAAATAAATGCAATATACTTTATTGGAGATTTATTACAGTAAATCTTAAAACAAAAGAAGTAAGTCAAAAATCATGAAAAATAATATAGAAATATATAGTAATTTCGTCGGGTCCATTTTTATAATATATTATTCTTCAGTTTTCAAATAAATATGTTCTACATTTTTTTTTTCTTTTCGCAACAAAAAAATATGTCATTTTATAATGTCAATGTATTTTTGGTTATCAATTCCAGTTTTACCTCCTTAAAATAAATATAATTTGGTTTTTAATGAAAAGTTTCAGGAATTTAATTTAGTTTTTAAATAGATAATATAGGTGAGCTAAAACTGCGGTTAATCATTGTTAAATTGGAAGAAATTCGGCGTACCTTGGTAACTTTGGACCGTCTATTGTTACAATAAACTAATGGCCAAAATCGAATATTATATAATTTCTTTGCAACTTGTGGTTAATCATTGTTAACGATGATGATTAATTAGTGGAACCCTACCAAAAAAAGCAACAAGAAAACTAGGTGCAGCACACAGTTTTAACAGGAAAAAAAAAAGCTGAAACTGAAAGAAAAAACATCTCACAACCATCACATTAATAACACATAAATAATCAATGAATTTAATCTTCACTTTTAAAATTAATATCATTTAAAAAAAATCAAAAGTAATAGTTATGATTATGATTATTATTATTATTTTAAATTTATCCTTCAGAAGTTGTTGATGGCATCGTCTAGTTTTAATTATTTAAACTAAAACATATATATAATAAAAACTTAACTACTATTTTTTTAGTTTATTTTAATCTCCCACGTTTATTGAAGGTATCACAAACATAAAATGAAATGAAAGATGTCGGTCGGTCCAAGATCTCAACCATCACAAGGTGGTCGGTCTTTCTTATTACAGAGCAGCGCCCGACATTGTAAAACGCGTAACTAGGCCACGGCCTGGGGCTGGGGCTTGTGGATGAGGAAGGAGATGCACTGGGTTTGCTTGCTGCTGTCGAACGCCATGCAGCGTATGTACGCGTTGGGGTAAGCCCCTCTGCACTCCTCGATTTCCCTCATCACCTGCATCACAAACATAAAATGAAATGAAAGATGTCGGTCGGTCCAAGATCTCAACCATCACAAGGTGGTCGGTCTTTCTTATTACAGAGCAGCGCCCGACATTGTAAAACGCGTAACTAGGCCACGGCCTGGGGCTGGGGCTTGTGGATGAGGAAGGAGATGCACTGGGTTTGCTTGCTGCTGTCGAACGCCATGCAGCGTATGTACGCGTTGGGGTAAGCCCCTCTGCACTCCTCGATCTCCCTCATCACCTGCCCCGAGTCACTGCACCCGAACATCGGCAGCTTCCACAACGTCCAGTACCTCCCGTCGTAGTACCCCGGCCTCCTACTGTTCTCCCTCTCTATCCTCCCCTCCTGCGTATACATACTCTCCATCATCATCATCATTTCTATGTATGTGTATGTGTATATGTATAGGATCCAATACATATATATGTAATAGCCAAGGATCGATCGATTCAAGGACAAACAATGTACAGGACCTCGTCGAATTCGAGAGCAGGAATCCATCCTTTCTTAAGCATGTAATCAATCTGTTTGGCGATTGAATCGTCGGACAGAGGCTCCAAATACGACAGCGTTTCGTACCTCCTGTTCTTCATCGGATTCCATGTCTGTTTTCGCTTATCAGTATATACACATACATACATATATATGTATGAATCGAACTCTGGATTTGCTTTTTTTTTTTCTCAAGAACTTAAAAGAGAAGGGATCTGAACTGAACCTTCATGCAGAGAGTTTTGGAGCCATTAGAGGACGTCTTCGAGCTCCAGGAAACAGAGTTCTTCAACGGAAGCAGCTTCGAGGAACCGGGTCTCAACCCGACATAACCGGACCCGGTTACGGAAACTCCACACGCAATCGTATTACATATCGCCATTCTTCTTCTTCTTTCTCTCTCTTTTCGTTGTTTCCAAGGACGAGTGTGCGTGAGAGAGAGAGAAGATGATGTTTATTAATGGCGGAATAAATATTTTTTTATTAGCAGTTTCTCACCTTTTTCTATTTACTAAATTATTTGTTTCATGAATACTTTCTTTAACGTTTTATGGTGTGGAAAAATCCATAAACATACCGACTGTAGATATAAATATCTCAAATTTTAAATTATTAAAGTGGAAATTATCTCATCATTTTGTATCAAATAATCAACAATAACAATATCAATTTATAATAAATAAATATCAAATTGGTATCGATTTAGTGCAAATTGACCAAATTATTTATTTTACAAATTTGAAAATTGAAGTGTTTATGTGGTACGTAGTATTTTCATGAATGTTTTTTTCTCTAATAAGTAATATCTCATCATTTTCTATAATATTTCTATTATATCTGTTCATTCTATAAATTTTCAATGCAGTATTTTATTCTTGTTTCTATATATTTAAATTTTTATACGCTTTACGAGGTGTGATGATGACGATTAGTTTGTTGAAACCATGTTTGAATGGTGCGATTCCCAATTTACAATTTCTTTTGTCCAAATATATAACAAATTTTGTGAAGCTGAGATGGTGGGGTTAGGAGGACACTTGGCATACATGTAAAAGACCCACGCACCTACCAAGAAGGTTTTACTTTGATTATTTAAATTTAGATTCACGTAAGAGTTTCGGGTGAATTCGGATTTATTATACACACCTAAAACTTCCGAATATCCAAATGTTACACTCATTTATATTAGAAATTTCACCACTATTGAAATTATACCTAATTATTATTTGTACGACGTATTATAAAGATTAACCGATGTATAAGATATTTTTTAAGAAAAAACGTTACCGGTAAGAATATTCCTCTAAGAAATGAAATGGTACTACTCACTGTAAGAATCCGAAAAATATCAAAATACTATAATATAAAAACACCGAATAATATTCTTGCATGGAAATGTTCCAACAAATGCAAATTCCCACTGGTGAGTTAAATACTTTAAATGATTGAACAAAAGGGTCAATGATAATAATTGAATAATTGTAAAATCTCAGTCGTCGACGACGTCTAATGCCACAGCTTCATGCAGAACCCAGAGGGCACAACCGCAGAGGAACCGCCAGACGCAGAACGCTTGCTCGAAACGCGGTCTGAAAACGTATCCACGATCTGCTCTGCCAAAGCCGAAGGATCACCCTTGAAAGTATCAACGAATATCTTCAAAACCCTAATCTCTTGAGGCCTCGCCCTTAAACTGTACCATGTCAGAAACTTCTGTCTGAAACTCTTCTCGATGTGTCCCGAGCATTCAAGTTGTCTTATGACCTTCACACACTGCTCGAAACCGCTGTCTGAACCGCCGTTCTCTGAGTGTTCTCCGTTCATCGCATCGCCTTTTCGCTTGGACATGCTTGCGTTTTCGATGGTTGCAGGAAAGTTCCCACCTTTAGACTTTCCGGTTCTGCCATTACGGTTCTTGTTCTTGATCTGGTCTGACCTGAATGGAGTGATGGGCAAACTGGTTTCTGAAGCATTTAGATATCTGACAAGATCTGGAGCAACAGGAACAGGAATGCCGGATCTGTTGTCTGGAACAACTTCCTTTAACTCCATATGTTCTTCACAAGAATTCTTCCTCTCGATCTGTATAACATCAGAAACGGGTTCCATGCTAACCCTTCTCGCAGTGTTATCCTCAGTGGGAGGAGGAGAATCGCCATTGTTTGGTAGATTCTTGGGGACAATAACGTTCTTCTCCTCAGTTTTCTTGCAGTAAGAGATGTAATCGTTGTTGGATTCGGCTTCAACAGAAGATGGAGTAGACAAACTGCTACAATTTGTCAGAGGGCTTTCGCTTCTTTCAACAACAGAAGAGCAATTCACAGCTTCTTTTTCAGCAGTTTGAGTAGAAATACTGATTTCTTCTGCGTGTAACTCTCGGGTGCCGGTAAAGGTCACGACTTTGAAACAATACCCTGAAGTCGGAGCCAGTCCCGAGACCACAAATCTTGTGTTTGGAGTAAAGAGAGTACAAGTTGAGTTTTTCGGGTACTCTTTCTCTGTAACCTTGCGATGCCATATACTGTAATGAATGATGTTGGCCGGTGAAGAAGGAGAAGAAGAAGAATCGTTGGCGCCAAGAACCACAGTGAGGGAATTTGCACGAATGTCCTCAAATCTAATCTTGGTTGAGCCTTTGGTAGCTGCATCTGAATCAACAGATAAGAATCAAAACCGCCAAATAAACCAGAGTTATTAGCCCCGAGTAACAACAGTAAACATCATTGCTCAGGCCACAGGAACATGATATGATGAAGGAAACCATCCCGAAATTCAGACATTGATGGATAATTTATGATTACCTTGCGTTTTGGAGCCATGAGATGAATATAATGCTACATCTGACTGTATCTTTTCAAGAGACTCTAAAGCAGAAGAGCAGAGTCTCTGCACCTCCGGCCCTGAATGAAGTCTATTGACAATTCCCCTACCCATCTTCATCGGGTGACCGGTCAAAGGACCTACTTCCTCTTCAAGATTCTTCACGGCTTCTGCTACAATCTGATACAGCTTTTGATACTTCTTTACGCCCCTTAGAAGCTTCTGACCTAAGAAAAGACGGTAACAAAGTACGTCTACCCTTCTGGTTTCCTTTGCAATAGATAATTGCTTTTTCCAACATCTGAAACGAGAAGTAGTTAGAGGACGAGATCCATAGATTATATCTTTGATGTTCTATCAGCGAGTAACATGAAAAAGATACTGAAGAAGATGATTGATTACTCGAGCAAGTCGTTTGCTTTCCCACAAGAAACACAGTAGAAGCATCCATCAAGAGCGGTGTTTCGCTTATCTTTCCCAAGACCGGATCTCTCATTCTTGAAAGAACATTCAAGATGGCAAGACAAGCCACAAGAATCATCTGAGAATGGAGGGTCTGAACTGCAGGCCAGCCAGAGACTAGGATCTTTGTTGTCATCATACTTGTGGCAGATGCAACAAGAACACCTTCTGCAAAACTTATCTTCTTGTCTCAATACAGCCCGGCATGCCGAGTTTTTGCAGTGGATAGCATTCTCACCTGAAAATTTCTATTTTCGGGTTAGTATATACTTCAAAAGAAAAAAAAATATTCAGTGGAAAATTACTCCTATAAAATGGTTGAGTGGCATCAACAAAGGAAAGATGTTACCTGCAGTATTCAGGACAACACGAGAAGGGTTGTCAACCTTCCTCTGTCGCTTGGAGTGCCTCTGACTCGGCGATGAATCCCTCTTCCGTTCATCTTCTCCGGATTTTTTCTCAGATACAATCTTCAAAAGGGTCTCAATGATCTTCACTTTAGTCAAGCCAGTGTATTTTCTTTCCTTCCCCATTTCAGCACACAAGATCTGAAGAATTTCCTGGCGGCTCCATGTCTGCAACAGTTCAGAGGCTAGATGAGACTGTTTCGACAGTTCATAAACAAGCTGTCTCTTTTCATCAATGCCCATTTTGCTGCATTTCGATGGATCAGCTCCAGCTCCTGCAGAAAGAAAGGACAGGACACAGATGGTTATCAGAACTGACAATGCATTCCATCCATGAAGATATGATCCAACACAGACACAAAATAAACTGTCCGCTTACAGCAAACTAACAAAGAGACCTCGACCTTAACAGGACATAACTCGTAACAGAACCGTGTGTTCTATGTGAGATTCAAACCTTTGGTTGGATCAAACAGACCCCATGGCTCCGAGATATCAAACAAGCAAAGACGAAGCTACAAACCAAAAGAGGACATCATCCTATTATGGGTGTGTTTTGGCAAACACTTGAAAGAGAACAAAGAAAGTAAAGAAAGAGAATCTGAGACAAAAGATTAGGTCTGGCAAAGAACGAGGCTCAAGATTCCTTTCAGATTCCCACATTCAATCGAGAGGCTACAACAATAGAAATTCAGTCCAGACACAAACAAAGCCATGTCCTTTATCATCCAACTCAAAAAGATCAACTCATCAACCAATGAACTTCGGGCTCAGTGTTGGTGGAAAACACAGTATTTCGACCAGAACCAATCAACGAGAAAAGCGAAAGCCCACCATCAGAATCGTCAATCAAAACTCACAGAAAAAGGAGAGAGATTAGAAGAAGAAGGGGAAAAAAAATCAAGTTAGTAAAAAGCATACAGTAGTGATCTTCACGGGGAAAAAAAGCCTCAAACTTTCAACTTATTGGATAAACAAAAGAAAAGTCCTAACGATACAAATCAGCATCCAAGGTCTCAATATCGGTAAAAAATAAACTAATCTTAAAAAAAAAAAAAAAGCCAAGAAATTTGACCATCATACAGAAACCCAGATGACGATACACGAGTTTCGATGAATCTAAAGCAAAGTTTTTTTCTCAAAAACCATGGAACCCAGAGAGAGAGAGAGAGACGTTACGAAATTTACCCTCGAGAGAGGAATCCATAGTCACGAACTGCAGAAGTAATCAAAGCCACATTACCATCAGAACCACCCCGAATCTTCAAACCCTGCGACAGAGAAAACAAAAAAAAGCTTGAGAAAAAGAGATGAAATCTTCAGGCCACGATATAAAACGGCGGAAAAGATTGGACCGAAAGGAATCCCAGACAAAAATAATAATAAGAGAACATAAACACGAATACCCAATAAGGAAAGCTGAGAAATTCGTCCACTAACAAGAGAATCCCACTGTTCTCTCTCTATCTCTCTCTCGACGGAGAGATTCCGGGTAACAGAGTGACCGGAGAACACAGAGAGAGATGGATTCAGATTCCCACATTCAATCGAGAGGCTACAACAATAGAAATTCAGTCCAGACACAAACAAAGCCATGTCCTTTATCATCCAACTCAAAAAGATCAACTCATCAACCAATGAACTTCGGGCTCAGTGTTGGTGGAAAACACAGTATTTCGACCAGAACCAATCAACGAGAAAAGCGAAAGCCCACCATCAGAATCGTCAATCAAAACTCACAGAAAAAGGAGAGAGATTAGAAGAAGAAGGGGAAAAAAAATCAAGTTAGTAAAAAGCATACAGTAGTGATCTTCACGGGGAAAAAAAGCCTCAAACTTTCAACTTATTGGATAAACAAAAGAAAAGTCCTAACGATACAAATCAGCATCCAAGGTCTCAATATCGGTAAAAAATAAACTAATCTTAAAAAAAAAAAAAAAGCCAAGAAATTTGACCATCATACAGAAACCCAGATGACGATACACGAGTTTCGATGAATCTAAAGCAAAGTTTTTTTCTCAAAAACCATGGAACCCAGAGAGAGAGAGAGAGACGTTACGAAATTTACCCTCGAGAGAGGAATCCATAGTCACGAACTGCAGAAGTAATCAAAGCCACATTACCATCAGAACCACCCCGAATCTTCAAACCCTGCGACAGAGAAAACAAAAAAAAGCTTGAGAAAAAGAGATGAAATCTTCAGGCCACGATATAAAACGGCGGAAAAGATTGGACCGAAAGGAATCCCAGACAAAAATAATAATAAGAGAACATAAACACGAATACCCAATAAGGAAAGCTGAGAAATTCGTCCACTAACAAGAGAATCCCACTGTTCTCTCTCTATCTCTCTCTCGACGGAGAGATTCCGGGTAACAGAGTGACCGGAGAACACAGAGAGAGATGGAGAGAGAGAGAGAGAGAGAGAGAGAGAGGGAAGAGAGAGATGAGGAGATGCAGTTTTATTATGGTGGTGCCAAAAGGTAAATGGCATGTCATCTTTCTTTTTTTTATTTTTTTTATTTACCTTCGTCGAGTTTTTACTTATTTTTTCCTTTTTTTTTGTATTTATAGAAAAATACCTAACTTCCGCAATTTGATGCCGAAAAATATTCATAGGGATTAATCATATGACAAAATAAACAATGCGATGAATATTTTCTTTTCATAATTATCAAAATATTTACTATACTGTTCTCTAGTATTATCTAATACCACGTGGCGCAGCATGATTGGATGGCCGCATGCATTGGGCGTGCGATGGGAACATTGGCTACCATAAAAAGATTGGAAGACTTTGCTTTGAAGACGAGAAAAGGACATGTGCCTAACGACGTACGAAGATATAAAATTTTAAATTATAACAGATCATACGAAAATTTGTAATTGGTCATTTTATTTGTATTTTAATAAATCAATAAAGCAAGTGAAAACAAAGATATGGATTCTTTTGTGGTGTATCATAGCTTTTATTTACATGTTTTATGATGCGTGCATAATTCCTTATTTTTATTTTAATTATTATCCATTGACTATAAAGAATTTTTTTTTTGGTAAAAGATTATAAAGAATATTGAGTGTGGGAATCTGAAATTACTAAAAATGAGATACATTACCTCAAATTATAGGGGTAATATGTGTCTATACATATATACACACAATATAATGATACAAATATTATATTTATACACAAATATACAAAAAGAATAAAAGTTTGGACCCACATGCATGTGTTCGAGTGGTATCTGGACTGGAAGTGAGGGTATTCCTCCTACAGATCAGAAGTTCGAATCCAGACATGCGGGGAGGGAGAGGCATAGCCAAAGACGGTGTGTTCAAAGGCTGCTCTCGGACCCAAGGAGATGTAGGTTGGGCCGAATTCACAGGTGAACTTACTGATTTGACAAAAAAAAATATACAAAAAGAAAATATACCCCATCTGTATATACATACAAATATATTTCTTTTAGGAGATGACGAGATAATCAATTTTTCACTTTTTCCTTTTTCTATTTTTTTTGCTATTTCAGAAATAGTTTTAGTATTTAGAAAAAATAGACATTTATTTAGGATAAATAATAAAATTTATATATCAAAATAAGTTTTTTATTCAGATGCAACTTGTGAAAAATATTTCACTGAAAACTATATATGGGTGGCACAAGTTCGTGCCCATTTGCGCCATTATATATACATCCAAAGCCAAAAGGTATAATATGTCAAAGTGGGTCATAAAGATGCCATGACCATAATCCTTGAACCATGCATGTCTACTTACAAGATTATCCACAACCATGCTGTTAATTACATTTTAAACCACAAATTTAGAATCACAATATAATACGTAACACCTTGAATAACGATGAAACAAGGGTTTTTCGATCTAATTATTGGATTTATTAATTGTATTTATATCCATAAGTTATAAGTTCATGCAGTATTATCTTCGGATATCTGTACCTATGAACAGATAAATAAATTCATACATACACACACATACATGTTCCAAAAACAAAACATTTTTCAAAATACATAAATTTTCAAAATTTTCTTATATATATACATACATATATATGCAATTTTATATATATATATTTGCATTCTCTTTTCAACTACTCAATAAATAAGGATAAATATTAGTGTGTTTAAATGGGGGCATTATCCAAAATACCCTCCTTATGCTAAAACTACTTCTGCACATACCCTTCTCCAGTTGTGACTTTGTGACCAGAATTTATGTATGGTCACATGATGGTCACATTGGCCATAACATTAAATTTATGGTGATTACATTAAATCACTATGGTCACACCTTACATATCACACTAATCATTTGGTAAAATCATCAAAAATCTACCAATGTGACCATCATGTGACCATACAATTATTTTGGTCACAAGGTCACAATTGGAGAAGGGTAGGTGCAGAAGTAGTTTTAGCATAAGGAGGGTATTTTGGATATTTTACCGTTTAAATGTTGTTAGTAGGATAGTTTATATCTTAGAATTTCTTGTAAATACATAAAGCAGTTAAAAAAACATGAAATGAATATATATACTTTTTCAAAATAGATATATTTTCAAAATTTTCTGAAACCATCCATCAACCATTAGTGCTGTCAACGGAAAATCAGCCAAAATATCACATATACATATATACACACTTACACGTATATATATACAAAAATATATACACATATATATACTATATATATATATAGACATTCAAAGATTTTCATCTGTTTATTTATGCGATGAACACTATAAAAGAAGGTTATAAGGTCGGTATACATATAAATATACAATGCAATTTTAATTATTTAAAAGTAAAAAAACTGATTATAACCCAAATTTGGAAAGTTCAACCGATAGAACGGGAGCACAAGGCATCTTTTCCGTACTCAGTTCGAATCTTAAATTTGGAAAGAGAACATATTGCATATATTCCCAATCATATGAATGGTTTCCGGTCTCGGATTAGTTTGGGCCTTAATTCAGGATATTCGGTTTTAAAATAAAAAAAACCGGTTATAAGCGTTGATATCGGCATAGGTTACATGGGACAAACACACGAAACGAAACAACATTCCCCGACGTCTATATCTCATTCTGTCTTCACAGACACACACCAAAAACACGTACACATATAATAAGACGTGACGTGAAAGAATATGATACGGGCGAGTGAAAGAAATTTCCCTTTTGCACGATGTCTTTCTCTTTTTGTAGTATTTGAGTTTATATTATTTTTTTTAAAAAAATATTAGAGGTAAACTAGTTTTTTAGAAGATTAAATTATCCCTATAAATGTGTCGAAGCGTATATTATAGATGATCTCATGTAGCAATTTCTAGTTATATGTAAATGTAATATATGTTGTTGGATAAACATGTTATAATTATGGTAAAAAAAAATTACAATAAAGTTGCACATTATACAAAGGACCATATTGTTTCGGCAAAATCATTTAAAACTTTTTATATCAAAAGGTGTATGTACATATTTTTAGTACACATGGTCCGTCCCATCATCATAATGTCCTTTCTAGCACTTTTATGAAAATTAAAAAGAGATAATACCATCACACAAAAAAAACAAATAAATGAGAAATTTTAGAAATTGTGATTAACTTTTTGGTTATAGCCAAACGTTTCCGTTTAGGATGTTCTATGATTTTTTATTTGAGTTTTTCAATTTCCGTTTTTCGATTTTGCGTTTAGTTTTCATTTTTTTAAATTTTATTTTCGAAACGAATTATTAATTTCATTCCACATTATTTAATCATGTTACATTTATGACTTTGCTTCTTCTTTTTTTAACGCATTCTAACATAATAATAGTTTTATAACGACATTGTCCATATAGTCGTAACATAATAATAATAATTTTGTATTTATTTTACATTTATGACTTTGCTTTTTTTTAAAAAGGCATACTGACATAATAATAGTTTTATAACAACATATAGTCCAAACATAATAATATTTTTGTAACTAACAACATAGTCCATCTTTGGGCCGAAGGGCATAAACCCGCTTTTATTCGGATTCCATTTCTTTGGAATTAGCTCAAGTGACAATTGGCAATGGGCGTTTAGGTTATTTTGGTTTTATAAAAATATGTATCGATCGTTTAGTATTTTATATTCAGTTCGGTTCAGTTTTGGTTTTTATAAAAAAAATAGTTTTTTAAGAATTTTTTGAGTTTTCGGATTTTTTTTAAAATTCAATTCGATTCTGAAACATTCAGTTTTCTAAAAAAAATACCATTCGAGGATTTCATACAGTTCGTTTTGGAAAAATACCGCATTTTTTGGTCAGTTTGAATTTTTTCGGACATATAGAACCGAGTCCAAAGCCGGGTCTTATCAGAATCAGGTTTGGATTCAGACATTAGTTTTTTTATAAAAAAAATGAATCATTTTTACGATTTTTTAATAATCGTGTTTTCGAACAGTTAGTCCGACCAAACTCGAAATCCCGATTTAAGTCCGTTTTAAAAAATCTTACTTATTTCCAGACCTTTAAATTTAAACTTGAACCTCATCATTTTTCAAACGGTTCGTGACAGATTCGACGCGGGTTTCGGGCTTCGGACCAAAATTGATACCCTAGTCCTTGTTAACTAGATTGCCTCTATGACATTCTAGTTTCAAACACGCATTCCGCTAACGAATTGCAAAGGTGTGGAGTATCTTCGCGCTCTCTGCCATTGGTAGATATGTTTAGACATCATGGATTCCGGCAGCGAAAGCAATCACTCCTATATAAACACACACACATATACATATATATATATATGTATATATATATATATAGACACGAGTGAAAGAACAGATCCTGTTCTAAGCAAGGATGTTGTACTTTCCTCCCAAACAATGGGAGACTCAGAAAAAAGAAATCTTTGATTGATGAGATGCATCTAAGAAAGTAGGAATGTTCATCTCGTCAACAGTTGTTCAAATTAAGATCATTACCCGTTGCAATATGCAACGAATGAATAATTAAACTTCTGTTCTTCTGCTACCCTTTTGTGCTCGAGTTGTGTATGATCCATGCATGCCCATATCAATTTGCATCCAAAAATTGTTTGGATAGTCCATTCATAAGCATTTAATGAAACCACAAATTTTCGCCTTTTATGAACAAACAATTGTATCGATTAAGATCATGTTGTATACATCGAGAGATCAGATTAGGGTTTGGTTTTTTTTTTTGGGTAAAGAGATTAGGGTTTGGTTTTCATCAACGTGGGAAAGAAAGTTGGTGGGCGTTGTTGGATTCATATGATTCACATTTCTATCTACTTTTTTGTATCGCCTCCTCCACAAATACTCCTTGCGTGGGATTTCGTTATTTCAAAAAAAAAAAAACTCATTATATTTAAATTTGCTTCACATATTTTTTCCCCTTATTGAATTCGAATTTCTCAAGACATAAAACATGATTTAGCATACCTGTGAAAAAAAACGTGAATCAGTAACGTGTAAAGCTAGCTATATTTCTTTTTTAAACTATATTGTATAAATAAATGATGTAATTAATTTAGATATATTTCTGATAAACAAAACAGATGATTTGAATTTAAATTAGTCTTTGAATTTATATTTTGGACCAAAGATGATTTATCTCAAGGTGATTATAGACTCAAATGACATGACAATGAACTCACATATATATGTATATATAACTGGATATTTTGGGTTTCAATTACATTTGATTCAGTTATTTTTAATTTATTTTTTGGTAAGGGTTAAAATATATCTTTCGTTTTTTATTTGGTCTGGATCTATTCAAATTTGATCCCAATTTAACTTTTACTAAAAAATATTCATCTCTTTTTAAAAAACATATTACTCTGTCTAGGTTTTACGTGAGGGATTAATTACATGGATGTATTCAGCTAATATAAATCGAGCCTAATCAAATATTGTTTAATTAAAATACTTTTTTATGTTTATTATAAAAACGTCGATGCCTATTGTTAATTTGGACATTGGCATTTATTATTATTTAAACTCTGTTGACATTAGAGAACTCACGTGATAGTTGTTTTTAACGTTATGAAAAAGGCCCCTTTAATTAAAAAGTTGGACAATGAACTCTAACCACAATACTTAAATACAATTACATATATATATTTATGACTATTTGGCAGGGCGTCCCAATGCAAACACTATATATATAGTTTATTTTTAATCAATTTTAATATATATATATATATATATATATATTAAGATTTTATTAAAAAATATATATTTCAATTAATTTAAAATATAAAATTAATTTTATATTTTTTTTGTGATAACATTACAAACTTTATTTTTTTTTAAATTAATGACTCAATTTTTAAAATAATACAATTTAAAAAAAAATGGGATCCCAACAAATTGGGTCCTTATCAAATGCATCACTTGCACTCTTATAAGAACGGTTGTGCTAATTGGATATATATATATATATAATTCTAAATACAGAAATGATTCCAAATACAGCTTATACGGTTTAGTAATTAGGTTAGTTTTAATAAGTGGGGGACTTAAGAGATTGGCCACAATAATAAATGAGATGAGTAAAATTAATTATTTTTCTTTTAATAATTAATAAAATAACAAGAAATTATGATGATTAGGAGTGTCAATCGGGCTGATTCGATCCGACCTGACCTGAACCGGTACTTGGTCCGAGGGTTTCGGGTTCGGACTCGGACCGGTCCGATTTTTTTGGGCCTATATCATCAAGCCCGAAGTCCGAAGCCCGGCCCTATAGACTTTGGGCTTGGACCGGACCGGTCAGATCGGGTCGGCCCGCATGATTTTCTTTATTAATATATTTTTTTCTTTTTTTCTTAAGATTTTTTTAAGAAAAATCAGGTTTTTTTCGGGTCAGCCCGAATCGAACCCGAAGCCCGAATCAAGCCCGGTCCGAAAGTCTGAAAATTTTCGAGCCTCAATATTTCGGTCTGAAATCTGCTATTTTTCGGAACGGGTTTCGGGTCTCGGGCACAATTGACATCCCTGATGATGATGTGGTGGTGACCAAAGGAATGTAGAAAGCTAGACATTGCAATTACGCAGCTTAATTAACCATGGTTCACCCCTTATATTTACTTGGTAAAATTTTATATAAACACAGTGAATTTTTCTAAATTTTTATAGAAATATCTGAATTATAAAATTTTTATATAAATATTTAAAATTGTCAAAACTTTTATATAAATATCCAAACTTTTAAAAATTTTCTGAATAAAACTAAAATTTATTATCGACGTTTAATTTATAATAGAATCTGAAAAAAAATTTGAATTAATATTATGATATATTATATTAAAAAACGTTAACGAATATTGTTTAATTTGAGAAATTTTCAAAATTTTGAATATTTTTATAGAAATCTTGAAAAGTTTAGATATATATATAGAAAATTTATAGTTTAGGTATTTATTTGATAATTTTATAAAAGTTGAGTTATTTATATGCCATTTTATCATATTTATTTATATATATTTACATATTTATGTATATATTTATATATCACCATCTCCCTCTCTCGGTCTCAGGAGTCTCTCTCTCATCAGCACAAAAAAAAAAAAAAAAATATAAGCAGAGAGAGAGAGATCTTCTCCACCGAGCTCAACTACTACCTACCATGGCGTTGTCTTCTCCGTCGGACTCCGTCAAGATTTCGCCGTTCGGTCGCATGTCGGCGATCATTAAGGGCAAGTCGGGGATGGCCGACACTGCCAACGCCTCCGCTTACGAGTCGTTTGCCGCCGAGTTCGCCGCGATTATCACGGAGAATAGGGAGTTTGCTTCGCTGATCACCACCTCCATCGCCGTTCTCATCGGCTGCGTCGTCCTTCTCGTATGGCGGAGATCCGGCACCGGCGGTAACAAGCCCAAGCGCGTCGAGCCTCCGAAGCCGTTGGTCCTGAGGCCACGTGAGGTGGAGGTCGACGATGGGAGGAAGATGGTCACTATCTTCTTCGGAACTCAGACCGGAACCGCCGAAGGTTTTGCTAAGGTGCGGAGACCGTCTTTTGCATTTGAGCTGTGTGTTTTCACGACTGTACACTGTACTTCGAATTTGTGTGATGGATTGAATTTGTGAAACTACAGGCGCTTGCGGAAGAAGCTAAGGCTAGATATGACAAGGCCAGATTCAAAGTCGTTGATCTGGTACGTCCCAACAAATTTCCAGGAGCTTTGATTCAACTTTCGTTTAGCTGTGGTAGAAATTCGAAAGCCACTTCTGTTAGTTTGCTTCTCGATCTGATTCTGGATTTTTTGCAGGAAGATTATGCACCGGAGGATGATGAATACGCAGACAAATTGAAGAAGGAGAAAATCGCTTTCTTCTTCTTGGCCACGTTAGTATTGCCAGCTGATTACTCTATGTTCCTCTAACCGTTGGGAGTTTAGCTTTTTCTGGGCTCATTTGGTTTTACGAATGGGTTTCAGATACGGAGATGGTGAGCCTACAGATAATGCGGCGAGATTCTACAAATGGTTCACAGAGGTGAGCCCTTTTTTGAATTATAGTACACAACCAGGTGTTGATTTCTGGGTTTCTGACAAGTTTGATCTGGTTTTACAGGGGAATGACAAGGGAGAATGCGTCAAAGACATGAAATATGGAGTCTTTGGGTTAGGCAACAGACAGTACGAACATTTTAACAAGGTTTAGATGGGATCTTTATCCTTACACCCTATGTTTGGTTCTCGGTTTCACTTCGAAGTTATATGCTCTGGAGTGTGCTAATATTCGAATTGTTTCCTTCTCAAATCTATGTACAGATCGCTAAGGTGGTAGATGAGATGCTTGCCGATCAAGGTATACACAATTCTTCCGCCCTTTTCTTGTTTCCTGTTCTCTGCTTTCCTCTTGGCTCTGCTCTGATGTTGAAAGTGCGGGTGGAAAACATGTATGAGTCAGTAGCTTGTTCTTTATCTGTGATTCGGAGCTCGAATTGATTCTGACTTGCTGAATACTTTGGCAGGTGCGGACCGTCTTATTCCCGTGGGTCTTGGAGACGATGACAAATGCATTGAAGATGACTTCACTGCATGGTATATTATCCGAGTCAAAATTGTTCTCTTCTGTTGCGTTAGTTTTGGTATCATATTTATTTACTTTTGGCTCATGCTGCAGGCGAGAATCGTTGTGGCCAGAGTTGGATAAGTTGCTTAGGGACGAAGGTGATGCAGCTGTTGCTACACCTTACACTGCCGCTGTGTTGGAATACCGGGTTTCCTTCCATGACGCCGAAGATGGAGAACTGGAGGACAAGAACTTGGCCAACGGGAATGGTCATACACTTTATGATGCTCAACATCCTTACAGGTACTCTCCCGACAAGGCCCTTTGGAGGTAATTTCTTGTCATATATATACATATATTAATCGATCTAAATAGTGCTTTCGTTTGCCGCTTAAAGGGCTAATGTTTCGGTAAGGAAAGAGCTTCATACTCCAGAATCAGACCGTTCTTGCACCCATTTGGAATTTGACATAGCTGGTACCGGGCTTTCGTGAGTTTTACTCTCTTTTCCTATGGCCCTTCACTAGTTTCTCCATTTATCCCTTAAGAATATTGCAGATAGTGAATGTCCACCATCCATATGTTGTCTCTTAGGTACGAAGCAGGAGATCATGTCGGTGTATACAGTCAGAATTCAAGTGAAACGGTCGAGGAAGCACTTAGGCTACTGGGAATGTCAGGCGAAATTTATTTCTCCCTCCACACTGATAAAGCGGATGGCACACTGATCACTGGCAGTGCACTTCCTCCTCCGTTTCCACCTTGCACTCTAAGGACGGCGCTGACTCGATACACTTGTCTTCTGAGTTCTCCTAAGAAGGTTTGTCCGATTCTGATCTCTTCATATGATTGTCGGTTCTGTATGTCCCAGTTTTTCTGATTCTTGATTTCCTTTATTCACTTTTCTTGTTGTTTATTGCAGTCCACGTTACTTGCTTTGGCCGCTCATGCTTCAGATCCAGAGGAGGCCGAGAGATTAAGACACCTCGCATCACCTGCTGGGAAGGTTGTGTCTGAATTTGACGTGGAATTCCTTTCTCTACTGCAATTTCCTTTTTCATACTAATGAATGGCCTTTTGAATGACAGGACGAGTACGCGAAATGGATAGTAGAAAGTCAGAGAAGTCTCCTCGAGGTGATGGCCGAGTTTCCATCCGCCAGGCCTCCACTTGGCGTATTCTTTGCCGCCGTGGCTCCAAGGCTGCAGCCGAGGTTTTATTCAATCTCGTCTTCTCCAAAGTGAGTATTATAGAAAATCTTTTGCGTGTTTCTGTTTGTGGTATTGTAGAATTTTCTCATGTAAATAACCATTCGCCACAACTTTTTTTTTGGGTAGGATCTCACCATCAAGAATTCATGTAACGTGTGTTCTTGTTCTTGATAAGATGCCAACCGGGAGGGTACACAAGGGAGTCTGCTCTACTTGGATGAAGGTATGAATGAATCCTCTTCCGTGTTATGCCATTACTGTCGTTTTCGTTGTGTTTCTGACTCCGAATTTGCATGATGTTACAGACTGCTGTGCCTTTGGAGAAGAGCGAGAACTGTTGTTGGGCACCGATTTTTGTGAGGCAGTCCAATTTCAGACTACCTTTGGATGCTAAAGTACCGATTATAATGATCGGTCCAGGCACCGGGCTGGCTCCCTTCAGGGGTTTCCTTCAGGTTGGATTCGGGTTCCATCTACCCCGAGTGTTCTCGTCTCGTCTCTCGAGATTAAAATCGAGGGTAACGATTTCTGTGCTGTATAAATATGCAGGAAAGGCTAGCCATGAAGGAATCCGGGACCGAACTTGGATCATCGATTCTGTTCTTCGGATGCAGAAACCGTAGAATGGTAACTTGTCTCTTCAAAGCCAGAATCTCCATGGCATGCATGTTGAATTCATCTTTGCTAGATTTGTAAAAACAATTTTCAGGATTTCATATACGAGGATGAACTCGAGAGATTTGTAGAGAGTGGAGCTCTCTCGGAGCTTGTCGTCGCGTTCTCACGAGAACGATCCTCCAAAGAATACGTCCAGCACAAGATGATGGACAAGGTATCTTTTTTCTCCGTGATTTCTGACAAGAATCACGGGACAATGCCTGTACAAATATGTAAATTAAACTTCACATCCATATATTTTTTATCTGTTCGGGGGCAGGCGTCGGATATATGGAAAATGATTAGGGAGGGAGCGTACGTATACGTATGCGGTGATGCAAAGGGGATGGCGAGAGATGTTCACAGAGCTCTCCACGCTATAGTTCAAGAACAGGTACCCTCTCCAATCCGAACTCCATCTAGTATCCCACAATGTCCGAGCCGAAACCCTAAGCTCTGCACAGTTCCTAATACTTTCCCCGGAAACTCATACGTGTGCGTTTACGGGTTTTATCCTTGACGGGTTTTGATTGAATGAATGGGTGAAGGGATCTATGGAGAGCTCGGAAGCAGAGAGCTTTGTGAAGAATCTGCAAACCAGTGGAAGATATCTCCGTGATGTTTGGTAAGGAAAAAGAACACAGACAACAGACTTGGCCATGGAGCTTACTAGAGGAAGCAGTGGAAGACTCTCTCTCGGTCTTTTCATAAAGCTTTTGGACAAAAACTTCAGGAAAGCCCCATTTGTCATTATAAGCTTAATAACCTCTTTATACATTTTCTTGTTTATATTTTTGAAAAGTTAATTACAATCGTAAGTATAATGATAATTATTACTATTTCACGTCTTCTACAAATCATAGGGAAAGTGGAGTGGTTGGTGATATTTCATATTTGGCACTGTTATATGTGCCCAACAATAGGGAAGAGTTCTCTTATGAGTTATATATAGTAAGCACATGATACGTTGATTAAAAAAGACACATCCATTGATTCTATGGTTCAGGTACAAAGTCTTCTGATCGAATTCACAAGTTTTCAATTTCAATTCGCTTCGTTTAAAATAGGGTTTAGGGTTCATTACCAGAGTCTTTTAGTCTTCATCTGCATCTCCGAGTTCCTCATCCTCAGGTACACCACGGATGTACAAAACATTGTTGCACCTGCAGAGAGATCGGAACCCGAAATAGTTGAGATCACGAGCGAGCAGCCAGCTCCACTTCTCATGATTTTATTGGTCATGTATGTATATATATATATATATATCATTTGCAGAACAATAATCTGAGTTTGAAGTTATGGAACAAGGGGTGAATGAATTTCACAACCATTGAATCTAGGAAAATTATCTTTTTACCTGATCAAGATCTCCCCCAGGTTTCCAGTTAACTGGCCGTCAATGTACTCTTCAGCACTCCCCAGCTGCGAAAAGTACCGAGAACATGAGTTGCTACAATGATAATCCATAGCACATGTGTGTGTATATATATACATGCCCGAGTAATGATAACTTATGCATGGGTTAGAATGCATGTCTTTGCTCAAGCATTTTGTAGGAACTAGGGACAACATTACAACAATAGTGTTTTTTGCCGTATGAATGAACATAACACACAAACATTTGAACATAACGCGAAGACCAAGCTTCCTGAATCTAGGGTTATGTTAGTCTGTTTGTACAATGAATATGGAAGCTAACAAGGCACCTGCAAGTTCATGTAGGAGTCCACAGAGGCCAGAAAACCTGAGTCACCAACAATTCAGAAAAGAAAGTAGGACATAAGCTCCGGTTATTCAGCGGTGCCAATTTCAGGTAGAGAAAAAGACGGTACCTTTGTATTCCATTCCCCATTTAAGCTTGACGATTACCGTTTTGCCAGTCAGGTTGTTCAAGAATGGTTTCGGGTTTACGGGTATGGTCTGAAACATAGCAAAAATGGAGCATCAAACTTTCCGACATATCTGCTGTGACAGTGGTCGAAATGTAGAATTGGAATCCATACCGGCAAATCTAAATTGCGAAAAAGAGTTTAAGTTTTTCCTCTAGCTATCTCAAAACGGTTCCCGGTTTACCGGTATTGTCTGAAACATGCAAAATGGGGCATCAAACTTTCTGAGATATCTTCTGTTAAAATGGTCGAAATGAAGAATCTCTCAATCCACACAGACAAATCTAAATTCCGAAAAAGCGAACATTTTCCTCTAGTAATCTCAAAACGAACAGAGAACAGTGGTTCATTCTGGATTAAACTTAATAAAATTGCAAAGCTCAACATGTTTCCCAAGGAGCAGAAACTAGCAGCTACCTCACGAAATGCAAAGATGGGATCATACAGGAAGACGTGCCCGGCATTACAAAACATACAGAAACGGAAACATTTAAATTAATATAGTTCCAAATCGCTGATACTTCGAGATTTCTTCATAAATTAAGAAAACCCAACAAGAAACATACATGAAATCTCCGTAGAAAAGAGGATTGTATAGCTTAGAGATTCAGCTCCGACAGCTTTTCAAGCCCTAAACCACGTGAATCTACGACTTCCTAACCCTAAGTTGCGCAAAAAAAAAACGAATTTCATATTCCACCAAGAATCCGTAAAAATCAGCTCAAAGATCGAAGCTTACCGCCATTGATTAGCGAACGAAGAAGCGCTTCGACGATCGGAGAAGACAAACCTCGCCTTTGTTTGTTCCTCGATTTCGCTAGGGTTTTTCGTCCAAGGGTAATCTCTTCCATTTTTAAATTTAATTACACACACGAAAAGGCCCAAAAGTTCTGACAGGCCCAACAGTACAACCATCAAGGTTCATTTGTTATTATTGTTTGGCCCATTTTCAAATGGAACTATAAATTTTTTATTCTGTTAAATTGCAAATTCTTGATATATATATCAGAAGTGAAATTGATTTTGCTATTTTCTTTTACTAAATGATTGAAAATAAATTTTCAACTATATGTGCGAACAAGGTTGTTGCCTTTAGTAAATTTTAAATTTTAAATTTTAAATTCACCCCTCTCGAATAAAGGTCAAAAGAGACATAAGAGTACCAAAGCAAAGGAGGTGACGTGTGTCACAAGCAAAGCCCTCCTATTCTCAAATGTTTGCTTAGAGATCAACGCCCCATGTCCAAATAAAACCTTTTAGTATATAATCCATTGTAAAAAAAAAGGTTGAATAAAAAAAACAAAAATCTGTAGAGTTTAAATGTGGAAATAGTTTTTTTTTTTACTTAAAGTTGAATTAGTAGTGTGTTTTATCTTATTTTACTTGTGATTACGTATTTGTTATTTTGCTTCCGGTTTAATTAACAATTACATGTTCCGGTTTACGAGATTTCATTGGATATAATTAAAAATACAATAGCACCCATGTGAGCCAAATCAAATTTATTTGAATTTGACCCTTTTTTTTTATCTCATTTTGATTTGATTGTGAATTCAAAATAGAATTGAATGGAATACAAAATAAATAGAAATGAACTAAATTGAATCTCACTTAAAACCTGACAAATCGCGTTTACAAAATCATTATACATGTATATATATATGTCCCCAAAAAAAAGACCGTACGTATTCATACACATTGAGTACATACAAAGAAACATCGACCGGCGTTTGTGACAAAAAGGGGTCAAAAAAATGTTCAGACATGAACATAAAGAACACCCCATGATTCCGTACAGATGATTACAGATACAGACGACTACAGTACCTGTGATTTATTTTTCTCTCTATTTAATCAATGGCGATGATGAGGAAGCCGACGGAGACGTACATGAGGAAGACGGGGTAAAGGGCGAGGGCTTTCCGTCTAGGGTTAACGGCCGAGCTCATGAATGGGTAAGCCGCCCATGAGCTCCATGCCAACGTCACACTCACCACCACTATTTTGATTACGGCGTTGTCCTTAAGCATGCAGATCACTGCTCCAATGTCCAGAGGAAATAGACAGTAACCCAGAAGACTTAGGCTCTGGAAGAAGATTATATGCCCACCCTGTGCATTGGCACCGGCAATGGCATTAACAGCGTTATCCAATAAGAAGAAGAAGGAAGAAGAAGTGTTAAGCCTTACCAGGAGCAGCACATTTAGTGTAAGAATGACGGCCCCTGCTGCGAGTAGTGCAAATGCAACGGCAAATACCTCGGACTGAAAATAACATTGAAACATATTGAGAATTGAGATCAAAGACAAAATCACTAGCACATATGGACCAATGTAATTCTTTTGACTCAGGGAGACGGGGCGAAAAACCTAGAATAGTCGAAAAGTGTGTATGCTGGGAGAAGGAGAGGGTTCACGAGCAAAAAGAAAACAAACAAATCAAGTTCCATCGATAATCCATAAAAGAAGTCGAATAAATCTAACACAATATCAACACACACACAAGAAGGCAGAAGCCCGTTCGTGTTTTTTTGTATATAGACAATTGGAAATCGGCATACAGGGTATCGAAATGACCTTCACCTGCCCCTTTGATTTCTCTCTGGTATCTTCTAAAATCCCAATATCAACAATTTATCGGCTGGAAACTATGAAGGATCCACCTACATCATGCCATTCAATAAGCGATAATGATACTGATGCAAGCCCCAAAGTGCCCACTGTACCCCCAGCTGAATCTTGCATAATCAGTATCTGAACAAAAATCCCACAGTACCATTTCGAGTCCCTTGTGGGAAGAATTGCTCTAAGCTTAAGAACATATACAGCAAGCAATTCTACAGTCTGAATTGTAGTTTCTTCTATCATCTCTCCAATGCCGACCATATTAGAGGGTAAAGAGAACAATCTTATGGCAGAGAAATGAAATGCTATCTACATTACAATGATTACATTGCCTATCACAAGACCCTTGTTGCATCTATGGTGCCCATCTTGATGATTCAGACAATGATCAGAGCAGGGTTCAATGGAATTAGGTTAAGCTAAAGAGCCAACAAGCCTATATCTGAAAGCTAGAAATTGGATTCCGGAAACCGAGTTTACGCATCAACAGAAAATCTAATGTAGAAATCAGAATCTGAGAGCTGACCTTCTTGACGGAAGCAGACCACGAAAGAGTCAGCCCCAAGAACACGATGAAGAAAAACGGTCCCCATAGATCCCAATCCCTAAGCGCCTTCCCCGGATCTTCCCTGTACGGATTCGGAAACACCACAAGCTTCAGATTGCTAACAATCCGCGACAGATCTCGCTTCACAGTGTCCCAAACAGGTTCCGTCAGCGTGTTAGGCGGAGGTCCGAACCCGCTCGCTCCTATGTTCTTAGAGCCTTCGGAGTTACCCGCCGGGGGGAGAGGCGGAGGGAGAGGAACCGACGGGACCTTATGCGCGGAGGAGGACGACGGCGGAGGGAGGTTGGATTGGATGAACGGAGAGGAAGAAACGGGTATCGACGGACGGGTCGGGCTCGGCGGCCGGGCCGGAACCGGAACAACAGTGGCGGGACCCGATTGTACACTGTCGATGATCAGATTCTCGATCTCGTCGATGTCCGACTGAGATGAAGGATGAAGAGGTATTGTATCGCTGTGCGACATTTGTCCTTCCAATTCTTCCTCTTCTTCTTCCTCGAAAGGAAAAAACAAGATTTTCCCGGGAAACTAGGGCAAGATTTTCCCGGTTGGATCCGATGGAGGAATTCGAACAGATCTTGGAGAGGATGAGTAGGAAATCACTGTCACGAGAGATGAGAGGAAACGTGCGTAACGGTGCTTTCCCACCAAAAACGACGACGTACTACGTCGTTTGGGCAGAAAAACTCGGAAGCCCACTAAGAATCCCTGTGGTTATATACTATGGTTAATGATATTTTAATAGGGGTTGGGATTTGGTTATTGAATCTTTGGTTTTTCAAATTTCGAAGTTAAAATTATCATGTAATATTACAAGTTTTCATGCAAGATTTTATATTTATATAACAACAAACAGATAGATACACATTTACGATATTCTCGCAAGAAGTAATCAAAGTTTTTTTTCCATTTAGTTTTTGCTCAATCACATAGACACTCTTTATTGTGCAAAACATATTCTTGGAAAGAAAAAAAAAAAGAGAAACATTCGGACACAACCAAAACACACACACATATATATATATATATAACTGAATTTGATTTAATTCAGATGAATCATCAATAAAAATCTATTATAATTGGGCTCATGTCATTTTCATAACTACCATTTCTGCGATGGATAAGGATACTTTCAAATTTACTTGGCTTCAATTTTTTTATTTGGCTCTGCAGTCCTTTACGCCATTGATATATTATTATTATTATTATTATTATTATTATTATTGAATGCAATGAGTACTCTCCAACTCTAGTCCTCATTCTTCACCAATTGTAATGTATTATTATTTATTAAATACCATGATTTTGAATTATTTTATTCTTTATTTAGTTACACTTAATGTTTATTATTCATATGGTGGGGCATATATTAAACTAATAGCCACTAACTTTTTGAAAAATAAAAACTCATTAATTACTTGTAATAATGATTTGAGAAGATTGGGTTGTAAAAACACACACCATTGGTCATATACTCTATTTCTATTTTCTTACATGACTAAAGAATTACATAATTGGAAGATAAACATTAGAATATTTGTTAATCGAAACTAGATTCTGATTTTTAAAAAAATAACAAATTATGATATTCACTTTTTACTTTTATATTATATATATATATATATATATATATATAGAAGAAGATGTATACCAAAACGTGAGATGTTTAGTTATGAATTAGAGCGCATATACTATAAACAAATGAGATATGTATCTATATATGAAATGCTGAATTGTAAATCAGTTCATATATACTCTAAACCAAAACTCAACGTGGGTTAATAACAGATAGTTGATATATGGGTCATTATGATTAAAAGATCGTTATAACAAAAATCTAATTTAATGTCAAATCCATAATTCAATTAAATTTGATTTGGTTAATAAAATTTGATTCAATTTGTAGAAGCTTATCATAATAGCTTTGGAGCTCATGATAAAAAAGGAATGATACAAATATTATAAACTTGAAACAAATAAAATTCAAAATATTTAATTAAAAAATATGAAAAGTAAAGAAAAAATAAGAGTCCTGTAATCGTTTTAAACTTTTTAATTTTCAGAAAATATTACATCATCCATAAAGCCAGATCCAGATCTATATTTACAGCTTTTATTCTTTTGGATCTGACACTTACACGAAATTCTAACATGAGCATTTTGAGCTGTACCAAACCCACCGTCCATCTGTCTGTGGGTATTTATATATTTTTACTATGAAAACAGAAGGGGAAACTTCTCTCATACATACATACATACATACATACATACATACATACGTATTGTTTTGTTTGTTAATGTTTTGAAGATACACAGATAGGCTGCTTTATTCCTGACAAATTCACCATCTGCATGATAAATCTGGGAATTCCACGAACATGCTTTCGTGTGTCAGTCACTTTAATCATATATATATATATATATATATATATTTTCCATTCGTAGGCATAGTTGTTGGAGAAAATCCCAAACGACAAACATTTAATTAGATTTAGATTTTGTTCTATAACCAATTGGAAAACATATTTTTTTTAAAAAAAATCAAGCACAACAATATCAAATAGGAGATGTTTCGGGTTCATTTATTTTTGGATTGTATGTTTGAATTTTTAAAAAATTATTTAGTTTTTTTTATATCGAAATTCCATTCGGATTATGTTTGAAACTAAAATTATCAATGATTGTTGAAAGCCCATAAATGCATATACGATTAAGATTAAACAATGTTAGCTCATAGCGAATATTATTTTAAAAAAAAATTGTGTTTTGAAACATAAAGTTTGAATGATTTATTTATTTGTTTTAAATTCAATTAATCTAATTGATGAAATATTATACCTAATTACGTTTTAGATTATATTACACCTTCATGGGCAATTCTTAGATAAAATTTTAGTCATATAATCTTCGCTCTGGAGTCTGGACTAATGATCACATTGCTTAATCTTAATCGTTTATGTATTCACGGTCTTTGATAAAATTGGTATGATTAATCCTATAATAAAAACATAACTCAAAGTCCCATCAGTCCATTTATTTTATTCTATACAAGGTGATACAATAAAAATTACGATACATGAATCTCAAAAACACTGAAGAGCACAGAATCATACAATGTATCTGATTAAAAAAGCAGAACAAAAAGACAAACTTTCAAGGCTTTCTGTTCTTGTTCTTGTTCTTGATGTTGCACTCAACAGGCAATCCCTGAGGGAACCTCTTCTTGTCCTTGCAGTAGTTGTAAACCATGAAATTCCTCTGCGCCCATCTCATAATCTTCTGGCTCGTCGAGTCGAGCTGTTCCGAAAACCACTGGGCGGCAGAAGAAGAAGAAGAGGAAGACGAGCAAGAAGAAACCCCATTGGACCAGACACAAGCGTCTGAGCTGAAGTTCCTGAAAGAGGCGGTGAATGGAGCTTGTGACCAATCTGTCTTGACGAGTCCTCCCCTCGTCGCCCAATCATCTGCGTTCCATAGGCTGCAATACATTCTCATTGGTTGGCTCTTTGGATATGCCACTCCCATCTCTTCCAAGTTCTTGAACTCCCTTATCGGCCTCCCATCCACGTAGAACCTAGCAATTCAAACATGTTTCTTTAGATCGATACAATTGTTCCACTAATCCCTCTAACCCTAGGTACTGACCAGTTCTCTGTATACTTTATGATAGTTTTCGCTGAATATATATATACGTACACTATGTGACTTGGATTCCATAGGATGGAGTAAGTGTGAAAATCGGCTGTTGGGTCGAACCAGAGGTAGAACTGTTGTTCTCTGTCACCTTTGCCTTGAGTATATACATTAGTGTGCACTATGTATGGATCGCCACTGAGGTTGCCCAAGAACTCGAAATCAATCTCGTCCCATGTCGACCCTTCTGATTTCAACTGAACCAAATGCCAAAAAACAAAAAAAAAATCACATTATTATACGCATATGGACACACCATGATGACGATTCACATGAACATGACAAATACTTACGTAGAAGGTGGTGACTGTCCCGGCAGAGTTACCCGGCACGAGTTTGATCTGCATGTCGACCTTTCCGTACAAATACTCGGATTCGGATTGGAACCCAGAGCCTGAGGCTTGATCAAGAGAGAGAGTGACGAGAGTTCCATCGTTCGAGATCTTCCCTCTTCCATCACCCCATGTCACCTCGACGTCTTGGTTGAAATCTCCGGCATTTGCAACACCCAAAATGTTAAAAGAAACGAGAAAATACGGCGTAGTGACCATAAGAATAGAGAGGAGAACTCGTGGTTGTGAAGCCATTTCGGGTTTGGACTCTTTTTTGGTTGACTAAACTCAAGTGGGTTTTCTCTTTAAGTCTCGATCTTTTTAAGTGTTTGGTTCGAGTTCGACGTGTGATGTTTGGTGGGTAACATATATGTGTGTGTATATATATACAAGAGCTCTATTTCTTTTTTAGAAAAAAAAGGTTTTTTTTTTTAGGCAAAAGGTGGGATTGGTGAGGGTGAGATGAGAAGTGAACAGCTGGAGAGCAAAACCCAAAGTTTTTTTTTTTTGGTAAAAAACCCAAAGTTGCATTGGAAAAATAAAAACAACTAAATTAATGGTTTGCGGCTCAATTGCTAATCCTAATCACAGACAGCCCATTAAGCATTTCACCTTATAATATCCACCCACTTTATTTTCTCAATAATCATGGCCAGAAAACAAAGTTCTTATAACTTTTTTTTAACACATATATCTTATATATGTTTATCTTCGACTTTTAAGAGTTCATTATATAAAAAATACTCTTACTTTTCTATTCTTATTTAGGGTTATTGATTAAATGTGACAAAAAGATGTCGTGTTTTACAAAGTATGACAAAATAGTTATGACCTTTGCAAACTATACTTTTTTATAAATTTTTTACAAAACTACCCTTACTTTATTGTATAATTTCAATATTGTCATTTAGCGTCCAAAAAAATGTGCAATATAAAAAGCAGATTTTTTTGGAAACCGTATAATCCGGGAGAGCTGTTTTTCATCCGGGAGAACTGTTTTTCATCCAGGAGAGTTTGTCTTTTGTCTGGGAGAACTCTTTTTCATCCGAGAGAGTCTGTTTTTTATCCGGGAGAACTGTTTTTTGTCCGGGAGAGTCTGTTTTTTGTCCAGGAGAATTTTTTTTGTTCGGGAGAGTTTGTTTTTATCCGGGAGAATCTTTTTTTTGTCCGGGAGAACTGTTTTTTGTCCGGGAGGATTGTTTTTTGTCCGGAAAAATCTGTTTTTCGTTCGGAAAAGTTTGTTTTTTTGTCCGGAAGAACTGTTTTTTTCGAGGGAGTTGTTTTTCGTTCGGGAGTGTACGTTTTTTGTCCGAATAAAAAATAGTTCTCACATATAAAAAAAAAATTGTTTTTTTATATAAAAAACATTTTTTCTCCTATGAAAACAATTTTCTCAACAAAAAGTATTCTTCCAAACGAAAATAGATTTTTTCAGATAAAAAAATATTTTTTTCGGATAAAAAAAAGTCTTTTCCGAATGAAAAAATAATTTTTTCGGACGAGAAACAGTTCTTCTTGATAAAAAAAATTATTTTTTTCGTATACAAAAACAGTTAAACCAAATAAAAACAGATTCTCACAGATAAAAAATAATTATTCCGAATGAAAAAAACAGTTTTCTGAGATAACACAGTTTCTGAATAAAATATATTTTTTATGCTGTAATTTTTTTGAATAATGGCAACATCGAAATTATACAATAAATGAAGGGTATTTTTGTCAAAAAATTATAAAAAGGTATAGTTTGCAAAGGAAAAAAAAAAGGTATAGATTTCTAATGACGTGACGTTTTTGGATACTGGTGCAAATTTTCCCTTCTTATTTCAACACATACCCTTCTCCATATGTGACCATGTGACCCATGTGACCCAAAATATAGTATGATCACATGTTGATTTTATTGATTATAACGTTAAATTTATGGTGATTTCGGTAATTCATTATGTTCATATCTTGTATATCTTACTAATTATTTGATTAAAACATCTTAAATTTAACGTTATGAGTAATAGGGAAATGTTTTTCTATTATTGATAATACGAAGAATACATCATAATATATAGCAAAATATAATAGAATATTCTAGGCATAATATCTAGGGTAAATCATAATCATACCAATGATAATATTCTAATAATAATATCTTTCTATATGCCCCTCAAGATGAATCATCTATGATGAATTCAATCTTATTACATAAAAACTAAAACCTGAAACTCTGATCATATTAAACGAATCATCTTCCATTTGGTGGTGTAGTTCAAACTTGAGTCGGTATTGTTTGATAACGTTTGAAGAGCTTGAGAGTTGTATTCTCAGAGGCTGATATGGCACGAAAGTGCGACGCGTATGCGTGAATTGGGTTGCACGACAATGAAGTCGACAGTGCAAAAAATTACGGTGTATATAGCGGCTAGGCCGGAGAAAAAAAATGGGCGCAAAAGCGCGACACATAATGCGTGATAGTGTAGCAGCGGAGCAAGATAGAAAAAAAAAATAAGGGACGTAAATACGTGGATCGACGATCGGAGTTTTCCAATCGAAAGGGCTAAATGCCAATATGTAAAGATCTCACAACGATTAGGGTTGACATCGATAAACGAACGTCGTCTGAAAAAAAAAAGTAGCACATCAGCTAGAGTTGACAGTGATGAACACTGTCGTCGAAAAAAAAAATAAAATAAAAAAAGAACAAAGTGAATGGAAGACGATATTCAAGATGATAATACTATTGGATTTAGTATATATCATCATCTTCATCGTCGCTTTGGGATTCAACCACCATTGTTGATGAGAAAAAAATCTAAAACGAAAACCGAAGCTCTAATACCATAATAGGGAAATGTTTTTCTATTATTGATAATAAGAAGAATACATCATAATATATAGCAAAATACAACAGAATATTCTAGGTATAATATTTAGGGTAAATCATAATCATATCAATGATAATATTCTAATAATAATATCTTTCTATAAGAAACAATGAGATCAACATATGAACATATAGAGAAGGGTATGTGTTGAAATAGGAATAGCAAAATAAGGTTATTTTTTATAACGCCCCTTTTAAGAGTTCCATTAGAAATCATGAATATATGTACAATTCATATACATACATAATCATATTTAATTAAAATTAAAAATCTCTAATTATATTTTGATTAAGAAGAATATTACAAGCAGAAATAAGTAACCGAAAATAAAACAAACGCCTTATTTGTATTTAAAACAAAACCAAAAGCACCGACGAAAAGAATAGGGGAAATTTCATTCACATTTGTTCTGGTGGGTATCATATGATGATAATGTATGACCGTCATAGTCATGATGGCCGATGCATGCGTAGAACTTGTCACTGCCCATGGCTATGGCTTTCACTGCCTTCTGGTACATTCTACACATTACGTGTTCATCCAACTGCAAACACCGAAATGATGAACAACGACAACAAAAAAAAACGGTCACATGAATTCCCTTTCTCCATTCATTTCGGTTTTAGCTTAATTCTTTCGAAAATTTGTAATCTCTTTAAGTCATTAATAAATATAGATCTACCACTACCTCTATTGTTTTTTCATATTTTTTTATTTTCTATTTTTCTAGCCAAAATGTTTATTTGGTCTAATGTATAAACCATCTTAAACATCTATTTCATTAAAAAAAAAACAAAAAAAAATACGTAGAAAATCTCAATAAAAACATAGAGAAAATATAGAAAGTTTTCGAGAATTTCTATTTTTCTTGTGCATACATACATACATACATCAAATCGAAAAGAATAAAAAAAAATTATATAACTCAATCGGTTAAAAGAAAGAAGTAAAACTTGAGGAAGAGATTAACCGGAGGAGAAACGATAAAAAAAAAAAACTCCGATACCATTTCAAAATCAAACGAAAGACGTTTGGGAGAATGAAAAAGATCTAAAAAACAGATATAAAAGTTCAATAAAAAAATATATATGATGATCTTTTCAAAATTTTCTATTATTCACTAAAAACAGAGATTTAACAACGAAAGTTCCAACCTTTCTGCCATCTGGTCCAGGACGGCTTCTTTCCGGATCGTAAGCTCTGTATTCATGTATAACGTAGTTCGTCTTCTCGCCCTTTGGTGGATCTCCTCTATAGAGTACCAGTGATTTCTTGAATCCGATCAACGTCTCGCCGGAGAAGATCTCTCTCTCTTTCCCCGTCGCCTTCCAGTATCCACCGGGAACTGTACGTCTCGGCCTCTCCCCGTTCTTGTACTTCCGCTGTATCGTCGTAAAGAAGTACACTTCTTCGTCGAATTCCCGATATATCCGAAACATGACTGCGGAATCAAGAGATGGGTCAACCAGATCCAGACCCATGTACGGAGATACGCGTATATAAACGTAGAGCCAGGCATTGGGCTACGACCCTTTTTGTCACTTACGTACCTTCGATTCTTTCTGGACCATGTTCGTAAAGTTTGATGCGTAAAATTTGGTTTGGAGGTATTTTTTCGCCGCGTAACTTGGGAAGCAAGTAACTGAGAATGATCTCTTCGTCTGTCGGTCTGAACCGGACACCGGGGGGAAGGGTGGAGAAATCGCACCACCGTTGACTCCGGTTGTCTTCTCCGTCGTTCGCCGTTGACTGCATATATGGCGAGTTTGCCACTGAATCCTCCAATTCGTATTTATATATTGCGAGTTTTCTAGGGTTTTTTTTCCCTAGTATTTATAGGCAAGAGTTTTTATCTCTGTGTCATAATTATGAATACTACAAATCATATCAGAAGTCGAATATTTATAACTTTATCTTAAAATTGAAACTACTCTATCTTGATGTTTTTTTTTTTAATTTAAATTGAAAAGATTTTTACGGATTCATGTGAAGTTACCGACAAAAAGAGATAGATGTGGAAAGCGCGTATTTTATTCTTTTTGTTTCATTTTAAATTTTATCAATTCTATATCGTTGGAAGTTTGAAGAATACTTAGAATATAACTTCCTCTATAATTAGAAATAAATTAACCTTCCATGTGATTGTTCTTATATTTTTGTTATAATTTCAATATTACGATAATACCAAATCTTTCGACTATATCCATTAAGATTATTTTATTATCCAAATAAAGGGTTTCAGTTTGGATCCTAAACCTTGATGTTTCTAGCTTTTCAATATATATATATATATATGGAAACATAACTAGACACTGTTTTCTGGTTCTGCGCTATTGTCGGAACGATTCGATTATGAGGGAACAGAATCCCGAAGGACAAAACCCGTACCTACTCGACGGTGATGAAACCGCGTTCACCGTGCGTGTCCACGGCGGATGGACACATGCTTCTGTGTCGGAGAAATAGACGGAACCATGGCATGAAGAGGTAGTGCCGGCGGACACGAGGGAATTGGAGACATGGAAGAAAGCCGCGAACGGAAGCCTTCGTCTCTTCCGGCGGATGACGGCGGTCAGACGGAGATGAGATGGCTGCAACGGTCTAAGGACAGTCACAGAGGATGGATTCTCGCAAGAACGCTGCGGAGGAAGGAAGGGGAGAAACAAAATAAAAAAAAAGATTTATCTAAATACTCTTCTCCGTAAAAATATGTGTTGCATGACCTTTAATCATCGTGCCACCAAAATATGGGTGGACATTCGATTTTAATGTATTCATCTTCATTCGAATGCGAATATTTGTGAATCCGAAACCAATTAACTCAAATAATTTGTGACCAGATGTTTATTTTCATTTCAAAAAGTATATAATAAAAAGGAGGAATACAGAAAAATCTACTAAAAATTGTCTCGTAGTTGCCCTAAAATCTGGATTGCCCTAAAAAGATATCATACGTTGTATTGTCACACACACATATATGTATTAAATTGGTGAGAGTGAAAGCCTATAATAAATGATTACATGAGAAGCGAGAATCCACTTGATGTGAGTTGCAGCTCATGACGGGAGATGGCGCTTTTTTTAAATAATATATATATCACAATATAATTTATTGCAGATACGACAAATTTTTCATATGAAATGTCTATAACACTCTAACCAATACCAGATTTACAAAATAACGATATTTTCGCAAATAAAAAATATAATATTTCTAAGAAATATCCGACTCTCAACCAAAAAAGTTTGGGTTTTTATCCTTTAAATTCCATTTCTCCAAAATATCAAAATAACATCTTCTCATATAAATACTCAGATCCAAAAAAAAAATGTTCAAAGTTTTTTTTTTGCTGGGTTTTAAATACGAAAGAGAACACAATACAGACACAACTGTCTCTTTCTTAAGAGCAGCTTGGTCACACCAGTTTCATCTCTCCCACTTGCTCGCTCTGCTGTTTTCCAGAAGCCAAATCAGATCACGTGTTTCGTCTTCATCTTCATCCTCACTCGCTCACACCACTTATAAATACCCACAAAAACTCACCTTCTCAACCATTCATCTTCACTTCTCCTGAGCCCCCTCATCAATGGCGGCTCCTTCCTCTCCTTCTTTGACGATGATGATTCCCTTTGTCACGAGTTTCGTGTTTGTTCTAGGTTTGGTTCTGTCTCTGCTGGTAACTTCCACCGTGATTTCGCCATTACTTGAGACCATCACTACAAAAAAAATGGTCATTTTCAACGGATAAATCCGTTGGAAATTAACGTTTCCAACGGATTTCCAACGGATTTATCCGTTGGAATTTCGTCGTTAGAAATCGGTGTCCGTTGGAAAACCGTTAGAATTTTCAACGGAATTTCAACGAATTTTTCCGTTGGAATTTTCCAACGGATTTCCAACCG